GGAACACTTTATAACTTATTTGCTTTGATATATTTCAAGATTGTTCCTTAACAATCCTAGATGAATGAAGTGATGCTTACAAGGTGTTTAAATTCTTTAAGCATCAGTTTTTGTTCATAAAATTCACTTGTGATTTTAACCTATCTTGGAATCTGAGCCGCTGTCCTAACCAGTGGTATATAGAGAGAATTGGAGATTGCAGATTACCTGAACCAGAATAGGATTCACTATTAACGTTTTTCCTTTCTTTTTTCTATACTGAAACTATAGTAACAATGCTAGCTAGCATAATCAGATTTTTTCTTATATGACTTGTCATGGATAATCATATTCACTATGTAAAGGTTTGCTGTTACTTGATTAATATATAAACACATGTTACATGTTTTATATATCTATATCTATATATATATGTGGAACTTAATTCTGGGATTCTTAAGTCTCCTTTCTTGGAAAAACTGGTGGGATAACTTCTATCATAAGCCTTGTTGTATATAATTAGTTGCATCATTGAGCAGAAAAGGACATAAAAACTGCTAGATGGTGTGAAACCATATACTGTAAGTTTGTTCCATAGCAGTTTAAAATGGGAGTTCTGGTTTTCTTTGTGAACATTTAGCTGGATTTGCCTTAATATTTAGCAGTTTGGTGTTTCTTCTTAATTAATAGGCTAGGTAACAATTCATTGTCTAAACCTGTGGATGCTGGAGAACAAAATGCACAGAGAAAGAGTAACTGACTTAAATTATTATTTTAAAGAATGGATATGCAATAGACACATTTTGATGTTTGTTGATCTTTCTGTATGAGGAGAAGAGGCACTTAGGGCACTTTGTTTCTTATTTTCAAATATATTGGAAGAAAAAAAAGGGACTTGGAAAGGTGCCATGTCAGTTTTCTTATGATTTTGTCTCTCTCCCCAACTTAATGATTACAAAGTTAACCCACTGCCTAATGTGTTTTTTATAAGGATATTTGTCTTAAGACCTTCTAAGGATTTATGTTCAACTTTTATTAAGAGCAACAGTGCATTTTATTACAGGTTTTAGGACCCATTATTTCAACAGTCAGATTGTATCTTGATAATAACAACAGATATTAATTCCTTGTGCCCCATATGCCAGGCAGCGTGCTAAATACTCGATGTGTGTTTATCTCACTTAATCTCCAGGGGAAACTGAAGCAAGAGCCATAATAATGGCAGTTTACAGTGAGGACACTAGGGCTTGGAGACATTAAATAACCTACCCAAAGCAGAGCTGAGTTAGAGCAGGTGGGTTTATTGTCCCTTGGACCCTGTATTGCTTATAGCTCCTACCTCTGAAAGCCAAAAGTAAAATCATTGCCAGTCTTGATGCAAACTCAACCTTTATCCTGCTCATCCTGTTGTTGAAGGCACCCATTTAAGGACAGTGGGAAGTGCACAATGAATAGAAAAATGGTAAAAGGTCAGTGCCAAACTGGATGACCTTCTGTGCATGTGTGTGTGACATCATAACATGTAATACACTCTTAACATCATTTGCATTAGTATAAAGAGTATGCTGCTGTACTGAGTAGGAATTATCTGTGATTTCTCTTTTGTCCATTACTTTAATTTGTACAAGTCCTGAAGGTTCAAACTCCAGAACACATTCCTAATTTATCCACCTGTCTCTGCTTCCACTGTTAGAACTTGAGTGTAACATTGGTCTTGCTTGAACTATTGCAGTATCCTGGTTTCTTTCAGCCTCCTCTATTGCTCACCTATAATCTACTCAGAGGGTAGAGTAGCTAGAGGGATCTTTTCTAAAGCCTAAAGAGATCATGTTGCTCTCTTGACAAAAGTGCTTCAGTAGCATTTTATTGCAATTTAAGAAAGTCCAACTGCCTTTCATCTATCCTTTCTTACTGTGCTTCAAACGACTGACCATTATGTGTTTCATTCTTACCAAATTCATTTCTGTCTTGAGTCTTTGTACCTACAGTTTCCTCTACCTGGTCTGTTCTAGTCATTGATCATCATCCCCTATCATTTAGGTCTCAGTTCAAATGTCAGCACCTTATTGCAGCCTTCTTGACTAATCTGGATACCCTCACCCCAATACTTTCTCATATTACTGTGTTTTCTTTCTAGTTCTTGTCACCTTCTAGTATTATGTTAATGTAATTTAAGGTCCCCACCAGAATGTGAATGTCTCGGGAGCAGGGCCTCCCCTGTGCCTAGAATAGTGTGCCGGGTACATAGTAAATAGCACAATTAAAAATTTATTGGATGAATGAAAATTTTCAACTCACTTTAACGTTGTACTGTAAACATTTCCCCCCCAGTCTCATATATTCAGAATATGGGTTGTGAACTCTTGAGCCACAGTCCAGATCTGGCCTAAAGATATTTTTATTTGGCTTATTAAAAAGTGTTGCCCTGGCCAGTTTGGCTCAGCGGTTAGAGCGTCGGCCTGCGGTCCAGAGAGACCCAGGTTCGGTTCCCGTTAAGGGCACGTATCTCAGTTGCAGTTTGTCCCTGGCTCTGGTTGGGTCATGCGGGTGGCAGCCACTTGATGTGTCCCTTTCATGTCAATGTTTCTCTCTCTCTTCCTCTCTCTCTCCCTCCCACTCTATCTGAACAAAAAATGGAAAAATGTCCTCACGTGAGGATTAAATAAGTAAATAAAAAGTGTTGTTTGCCTGGCTGGTGTGGCTTAGTGGTTGAGTGTCAGTTCATGCACCAATAGGTCGCTGGTTTGGTTCCTGGTCAGGGCACATGCCCAGGTTGTGGGACAAATCCCCATTGAGGGGCATGCAGGAGGCGGCCATTTGATGTTCTCTCTCATCGATGTTTCTATCTCTCTCTCTCCCTTCCTCTCTAAAAATCAATAAAGAAAAAAAAATTTTGTTTCAGTTTTGTTTGAGGTGTAACTTACATCCAGTCAAGTGTGCAAATCTTGCCCTGGCCAGTTTGGCTCAGCGGTTAGAGCGTCAGCCTGTGGTCCTGAGAGACCCGGGTTCGGTTCCCGCTAAGGGCATGTACCTCGGTTGCAGTTTGTCCCCGGCCCTGGTCGGTTGTGCGGGTGGCAGCCACTCGATGTGTCCCTTTCACATCGATGTTTCTCTCTCTCTCTCTCTCTGTTCCTCTCTCTCCCTCCCACTCTACCTGAACAAAAAAAAATGGAAAAATTTCCTCGGGTGAGGATAAAAAAAAAACAACAAAAACGTGTGCAAATCTTAAGTGTACACTTTGATGAATTGCACTGATGTGTATACCTACATAACCACTTTTTAGTCAAGATAACGGAGGCTCTCTCCTATCCCCCTCCTGGCCACTCCCTCTTTCCACAGGATAACTTAACGTAGTTAATTTTTTTAATTGGCATCTAACTTTAAAGATTGGGAGATTTCACACAAAAATCCAGAATTCCAACATATCTTAAAAAATAGAAAGGGTTGCCCTGGCCAGTTTGGCTCAGCGGTTAGAGCGTCCGCCTGCGGTCCGGAGAGACTCGGGTTCGGTTCCCGCTAAGGGCATGTATCTCGGTTGCGGTTTGTCCCCGGCCCTGGTTGGTCGTGCGGGTGGCAGCCACTCGATGTGTCCCTTTCACATCGATGTTTCCCTCTCTCTCTCTTCCTCTCTCTCCCTCCCACTCTATCTGTACAAAAAATGGAAAAATGTCCCCGGATGAGGATAAAAAAAAAAAAAAAAAAAAAAATAGAAAGGGTTAGCCCTGGCCAATTTTGCTCAGCAGTTAGAGCTTCAGCCCATGGACCAGAGAGACCTGGGTTTGGCTCCCGCTAAGGGCACGTACTTCGGTTGCAGTTTGTCCCCCGGCCCTGGTTGGGGTCGTGTTGGTGGCAGCCAGTTGATGTGTCTCTTTGACATTGATGTTTCTCTCTCTCTCTCCCTCTCTCTCCCTCCCTCTCGCCCTCTGGCTCTATCTGAAGATGAATGCAAAAATGTCCTCCGGTGAGGATTAAAAAAAAAAAAGGAAAGGTGTAACAACACAGGACCTGCTTTCTCTTTGGCTACAATTTGCTGTGGCTGAGATGAAGCTGTCCGAAGTGTTGGCATGTGTCCTCCAGTGTGCCTCCAGTCTGACCTCTCCTCCTCCCGTCCCTGGCCTGGAAACCAACTTCCATTTGCCACTTGTAGTTTCACTGCATGTTTGTGATGGAGAAATATTTATTTCTTCAATGACTAATATAAAAAATGGAAACATGAATGGCAGGCTAAGAAGAAAATTTGTTTCGTAGTTGACCTCACACATGTTTCTTAACTTTTATGTATTTGTTAGCTACCCTAATTCTTCTTGTTTATGTTGCAAGGTTGCAGTGTCCTTTTGCATAAATATATTATTTATGTAAACAATCTTCTGTGAAAAATATGTTATTTCATTTTTTTTGATATTATAAAAAACAGATGAATCTTGTACAAATCATTTTATTAGGATAAACTTTTAGAAATGGAATTTCTGGATTAAAAATATTTTTTCTTTTAAGAATTTTGATACATATTGCCAAATTGCTTGATAGTAGTATAAGTTGATATAATCTTTCTGGAGAGCACTGAATGGGAGTATTCACTTCTCTACACCTGTGTCAGCATTGGGAATTATAATTAAAAAGAAAAGTTTTGCTAATGTAGTTTGTAAAAACAAAAAAGGGAAATGCTGGCCAAGAATTTTTTCAACTTATCTGTGTAAATAAGAAGTGTACTGTATTCTAAAAGAAATAATATAGAAATATTTATTACTGCAATGCTGTATCTTGGATCTATATTGTGAGTTAACTCATGTGCCATGTACTTTGTATATGAAGTAATGTGAATACCTCAGTATAACTGGAAAAGCTTTTAACTTTGATCCTTACACACACACACGTACACAAACACGATAATTATTATTGAGTTTTGCCGTATTCTATATGGGTGTACATGAGGGTAAATAATGTAAAGTCCTTCTGTTTTGAAGTACTTAGAACTAATTCTTACACATGGGTTTGATATATGCTTTCATATTTTTAATTAGATGCTGCTGTTGCATGATTTGTTTTTTAAGGAGATGCCTACATAGAAGAGCGACAGCAGCTGGCCTAAATGTTTCACTGCTGAAGTGGCTCCTCAGGTATCCCAGCCTGGCTTTGCTATGGGAGATTGGATGGCTGTTACAGATCCAGGTCTGTCTGCAGGTAGCTGAGTTTAAAATACTTATAAGCTAAAGCAGTAATTGTGAAGGTGATTTTTTTCAATGAAACTATAAAATAATTACCACAAATATTGGAGATGTGACTAATGAAAGATATGAATAATTGTAAAATGTCCAATTTCCATCTTTAGTAAATTATTATGGAGAGCTAAGAATTATGCCATAATTAGTGGGGTTAACTGCCTTGGATGGGATGATTGATCACTTGATTGTTAACTATTTTTGAGAAAATTTTTAGGCATTTGAAATAAATTCATTGGCTGCTTTGGTACATTTCCTTTAATTGCATAAACTTTGAGTGCATAGACAAATGATTTTTATCTGTTATTATAAACCTAAAACACTTTAAATTAAGGTAGCATATTGTATCTTAACACGTCTAATAAAAGCACCACATTACAGTTGTGTGTTTTTGAGAAAAAAGTACATAGGTTGCCTGGCTTAGTGGATTGAGTGTTGTCCCATGGACTGAGAGGTCCTGGTTCGATTCCCGGTCAGGGCACATGGCCGGGTTGCGGGCTCCATCCCCAGTAGAGGAGCATGCAGGAGGCAGCTGATCAGTATTTCTCTCTCTCTCTCTCTCCCCCTTTCTCACTAAAAAAAAAAGTCAATAAAAAACATTTTTTTTAAAGTATATAGTTTTCATATAAAACCAACTTTGCCCTGATTTGGAAATACTTAAAAAATATGTATAGAATCCAAAATTTTTGGTAATGGAGATTATGTTATCATTGCATGCATTTTTACAGAGTATTTACATAAATGCCTTTTGTTGATTCTTTCAGAAAACAAGAATATCTCTCAATATACCTCAGAAACAAAGATGTCTCCATCCAGTCTGTACTCACAGCAAGTGCTATGCTCTTCAATACCTTTATCAAAAAATGTGCACAGTTTTTTCAGTGCCTTCTGCACAGAAGAGAATATTGAACAAAGTATTTCATATCTTGATCAGGTAACATGGTGTTTTGTTTTTGTAAGAAGCAATAGTGTAAATCATGTTCTATCATAGAACATATTGAAGTTGAGAACACTTGCCATTACAAATGTTTTGTTGTGTATTAGTCCAGGACCTGTATTAGATTTGCAGAGGTCCTTGGTGATCACTTGTCTAGATACAAGGTAAACGTTTGTATCTGGAGCAGGTTGGCCTCCTTTCACCCCAGGGCTGCTCCACTGGGAATCTCAGCCTCATTTACTATGTGGAGAAGCCGCATGTGACTGCAGAGCAGAGGCAGAAAAAGCCCAGTTCTCTCAGTCCGCTGTCCTTTGGGATAGTTAGTGTTTTCTTAACCATCACAGGATAGTTTTCTTTCTTTCTCAGAGACGATTTTTATCTTTTGTTTTTTTACTAAGCTGTCTGGTAACCAACTTTTGGGAAAATGTTTTCTCCTACCAGGAATTGACTACTTTTGGTTTTCCTTCATTATATGAAGAATCCAAAGGTAAAGAGACAAAGAGAGAATTAAATATAGTCGCTGTTTTAAATTGTATGAATGAGCTACTTATACTTCAGCGGAAGAACCTTCTAGCTCAGGAAAATGTGGAAACACAAAATCTGAAACTGGGAAGTGATATGGACCATCTACAGAACTGCTATGCAAAACTTAAGGTAAAAATTACGTGTCAGTCTGAATTTCAATGCCATTGCTGTATAATGTGATACTATAAATTTTCATGGGCTTTATCAAAATTTAAGAGTTAACTTTTTTTAAGTTTTAGTTTTTTTAAACAGATAAAAGTGAACTTAGAGTAATTTATGCAAATCAATCATACTGCTTCCTAATATCCATATTGACAACATTGATTTTATGAACCGTGTAGTGACTTGCTGAATCTGTAGAAAGTTAGATTAGGAAATATTTATATCTGAGGAAAATACATAAGGATTCCCCCACGCCATTCAGTCTCGCTTAATAAAATAGATGGTTAATTTACAGAAGTCTTATTTTGAAAGGCTGCATTGTTTAATTCCAAGAAAAAGATTCTAGAGGGCATTTATGCCAAAGCTGTTAAAAAAGCTCAGTAATGGGCCCTGGCCAGTTTGGCTCAGCGGTTGGAGCGTCGGCCTGCGATCCAGAGAGACCCGGGTTCAGTTCCCGCTAAGGGCATGTACCTCGGTTGCAGTTTGTCCCCGGGCCTGGTTGGGTCATGCGGGAGGCAGCCACTCGATGTGTCCCTTTCACATCGATGTTTCTCTCTCTCTCTCTTCCTCTCTCTCCCTCCCGCTCTATCTGAATAAAAAATAGAGAAATGTCCTCGGGTGAGGATAAAAAAAAAAAGCTCAGTAAGATAATCTCTACCTCTTAGAAGTGTCTGGGGCTGTAGAGAAGACCATAGAAGAATGCTTTCGCAAACTTGCTTGTTTCTCTGAACAAAGCAAATATTTTTCATAGGGCCAATGACCTGCTACCTTAAAATATAGAACATGTTACTGGCTTTTGCTTTGCTTCCATCCATTTCTTTTATGTTTTTCTTTTTAAAATTCTTTTTTATTCATTTATTTGAGAAGGAGAGGGGAAAAGGTGTTCAGAATCACAGTATGGTAGTGATTTAAGATTGTATATTAGGAAGGCCGTAATAGAATCAATCCAAGGCAAATTTTTTTCTAAAGATACTATTCTATTTTGGGTTTCCTTATTTGGGGGGGAGGCGCTTTTGGACCTGCAGGATCAGCTTCCTTTTTGTTTTTCACTTGTTGATCCATGCCTTTCTACTTATTTTTCTTCCTCTAGACTCCCTACACCCACCCACAACCTCTAGAACAGACAACAGTTTTTTAAAAACCACTTAATAGCTTGAATCGTTGAGCTCTGTTGGAGAATAATAGGATCTCTATGTAATATTTGAAAATCCTTTAGTAGTGAGTATACAATAAAGAAATGGCTGGAGTGGCCTATAGGTGAACACTGGGAGCCTTCAGTAATTGATTTAGAGAAGCATCTTAGCTCCTCAGCAACACCTGCCCATACCTGCCTGTCATTGCCTAAGGCTCTTTTATGTTATCTTCTAGCTCATACACAGTAACAATAATATGTTTTCTCCTCAATAGTTTTAGTTTTTTATACATCCTATATGCCTAAGGGATAGAGATTATCCAACTATGTATCTTGGCAGGCTCGGGAACTGTGGGGGGCAACATACGTAGATGGTACCCTCCCCCCCAGGTTTATTAGAAGGTTGCAGGTTGTGGATATTACTTTAATCTTAATCAGGGAGACCTACAGAAGGTCTTATGCATTAGACTGAGCCAGAGTTGTAGATCCTAGACTAAGGTTTAAAACTTTTTATCTGGGCACTGTTGGCCAAGTGCCTTATAAGTAGCTACTAAATAATTACATATGATATTGGTAATTTGGGGCTATCGAGCCTTTCCTCTAAGAAGTGATCATTTATTGGGACTACCCAGAGCATGGAGTATTTTACAAGATACCTTCTAATTTAGGATTTGACCTGGGTCAAAAATCAAGTATTTTGGGTCAGCTTTGGAGAGAAATGTGTATTCATTGGGAAAGGTTGCTGATCTATCTTTGAAGAAGGTCTAGATCTAGCATATGATTTATTCAATTTGTTAAGCAAAATTTATTGAGTAGGTACTAGGCACTGGGTTTCAGAGATAAGCAAAGTTATCTGCTTGCAAGGAGATTGTAGTCCAGTGGAAGGAGACACCTTGAACCCTAATCATTTGCTTTACTAATTGTTCTTGGTGTGAGCGGTAAGGAAAAAGCTTCGCAACACTTGATGTAAGATTTGAGGAATGAATAGAAATTTGTTAGCATTTGGAGAAGACACGTTAGGCAGAGCATAGGACCTGTATAAAACATGGAGGCATGAGAGAACATACTTTCGGGGAATAGCATATAGCTCTGTAGGGACTGAAGTATACGATGTGTGATGAAGAGTGGTAAGTGGTGAAGCTGGGATCCAGGCCCCAGCTGATATGAAAGGCATTGTGCAGAAACCCGGAGGCACGGAGGAATGGAAACCGGAGGAAGGTATCATGTAAACATCAGTCTGGCAGTTACAGGGGGAGGTGTGGATTTGTATTTGGAGTGGAAGTAGGGGATGCTCAGAAAGCCTGATGGAAAGGACAGCTGTTAGTGAACCTTGTTAGCCACCCAGACTAGGGCGGTTTTGGACTTGAATGAAGGTAGTGCCAGTGCAGATGGTAAGAGTGAGACATGAGGACAACTTAGGAAGCAGAATGGGTAGAATTTTATGAAGTTAAATTTAGGGAATAAGATTTGTGAATTTAAGATGCCATTCAGGTCTCTGACTTGAGCTTGCTGCAGATGGTGGTATGATCCACTGAGGTGAGAAATGCAGGGGGGTCAGTGTACAGATGTGCAGGGATGATGATGAGTTCAGGTAGTGTTGCTAATGTCTGAGTGAATCTCTCATTTGACATTTATAGGACATGTCAGCTGGCCTAGAGGCTGTAAGTTAGGCCATGCCAAGTGGTCTGGCATGATATGAACTTTTTAGCGAGAGGGTGCCACAATTTTTGACAACCTTAGAATTATCCAAGTTATAGTCCCAAGTTTTGTGTATCTTATTGAGGTCCATTGTTATAGAGATTGTACAAGTCGTTTTTTGTGTCAATTGTGACATAACTTGAGTGGCTTTTATATTTTATGAAGATAAGAGGACTTAAATACTCTAGTGGCTTCACCAAGAACTTGACCCAGTTCCTCTTGGAATGGGCAGAATGAATTGAAAGTCAGCATCTTGTCCCATACTGATTCCAGGATTGCTGCCATTCCTCTCTGGGAAAATCTTCAGTTTACCCCCGCAAGGGAGAGGGGGCACGCTGTCATCCGCCCTTTCTGACCTGAAGTGTTCTGCTTTGCTTGGTCACCAGCCCTCTTCACACGTAGCTTTGAATTACTTTGACTCTTTCTCAGAGTGTGCTATATATACATATAGAAGGTTAAAAAGTATTAAAAAGAAAATTTTTCAATATTCAATGACATCACTGGAATAAGTGAAGAGCCTTTCAAGGAAAACATTTTGAAGCTCTTGAATGTACATGAAATTTGGTATGTAAATTAAGTAAAATATGATATTTAAATAAATTGTATAACTTTATAGTATCAGGACTTATAAATGCTTTAAAAATATTTTCAATTTTAGTGAAAAAACACTAGCAGATGTAACATGTTTTTACTAATCTTAAGAATTCACTTGCTCTGAAGTCTGTGTTAATTGTAATTAGAATTGCACACGGATGTTTTAGGAACAGCTGGAAACCTCCAGGAGAGAAATGATTGGACTTCAGGAAAGGGACAGACAGTTACAGTGCAAGAACAGGAATTTACATCAGTTACTGAAAAATGAGAAAGATGAGGTGAGTTGTCAGTTATTACAGATCAAGTTTAAGTGAATTTTTAAAAATAATTTGAGGTGACCATTAAGAGCCACTTCACTTCACAAGAAAGAATAATGTATTTATCCTGTGTCAAGTGTATGGTGGACCTCTGTGTACACAATATTGTATCATTTTTAACCGAAGTCGAGAGCCCTGCCCACAGTCCCCTCTGCCAAGTATATCCATTTGGCTCGTGACAACCAGTGTCCTTTCCCACCCACTCCGGATGCACAGGCACTGTGGCTTTTTCTCCGGCACCGGGTGCTTGAAATGCACATCTTCTCTGTCCTTCCTATCTGGCATGCCTGTTCCTGCTCCACCATCTTAGATATTGATATTGTTCATCCAGTCAAGCAATTAATTGATTAACTGGGCACAAGAGTTATTGTTTAAAAAGACAACGCACATTTAAAATCTCATTTCTGAGGCCAATGACATAATTCCAACCTCATTTCTACTTTAATGGTTACTTAGTATTTGGACCTATAGAGTCAATGCATTTGAAATTATTTTTAAATTTATATAAGAAGAAACCTTTATGTATAAAAACATAATGGTTAAAAAATGCTGTACAGTTTGATCCTTGACAATCTGATAACTGTAAAAATATAGTACTTAATATAATTCAATGTTGTGTATGGTTTTTTTACTATAAAGACTGTCAGGGGAGTGTATTTCTTTAAAGACTTTGTGATTTAGATATTTTACCATATTTGGTTATTTAGTAGTATATTTAGTAAGTGGTTAATGAAGTATCTTAACTAAACCCCAAGGTTGTTTATACATTTCCTTGAGTTATTTCTCAGGCAATTTTGACTTGACCTGTTGATTACATGTAGATGGTTTGAAAATACTTCACCTTTAGTAAGGATTAAGTTAAGCATGATCATCTCTAGCAGATATTAAAAAAGAAAACTTACTTTCTATTAAGGGCTGCCTGAGAAACTGTAGTAGAAATTAACATTGACCATGTGTTACTGGCATGCAATAAAAACTCAGCAAATGTTTGAATGTTTGAATTGTATTCTGCTATTTGTACTTTAATTTGAGAACTGTTTATGGTCAGAGAAAAATGAACCTGTTTACCTACTGCCATGAACCATGGCCAATTTGCCTTGCCACAGATTGGTAAGGAATAAAGTGATTCAAGTCATTCCTATAAGGAAGTCACTGCAAAGGATCAGATGACCTCTACTTGTTTCAGATGACACTTTAATCACTTTAACACTTCCATAAATGAGTTTCTGGCTTCTAAGTGATCAAGAGTCTGTATGCAGGGTGAAAGGTGTAGAACAGCGATTTTCAACCAGTGTACTGCAAGGATTTTTAAAACATGCAATACCTATTTAGTCAGGAGCATTGACCTATTTCCATTAGATTGTCTAATTAAAAAATGACAATAGCCCTGGCTGGTGTGGCTCAGTTGGTTGAGCAGTTCCCCATGCACCGAAAGGTTGCCCGTTCAATTCCCGGTCAGCGCACATGCCAGGGTTGTGGGCTCAGTCCCCAGTAGGGGGCATGCAGGAGGCAGCTGATTAGTGTTTCGCTCTCCCTCTCCCTTCCACTCTCTCAAAATCAATAAAAATATTGGGAAAAAAATGACAGCCAATACGACAATAGCTGTCCAGTGTGAATGAATCAAAGTTATACTTATTTTTTTGTTGATTGGCAAAAAATATAGTAATTTTTGGTGTACCACAGAATTTCAGTAATTTGTGTATGCCATGAGATGAAAATGGTTGAAAATTGCTAGTGTAGAAGATAATTTAGAAAGTTAGCAACACTTAGAAATTTCAGAACTGAAAATAAAAATTTGATGAGATTAATTTAAATTATATTTTAAAGAATAATTTCCAGTGGTTATGGAGAAGGAAGAATAATCCTAAAATTTTAAAAATGTTTTATTTTATTTTATTTTTTTGGTACGTGCCCCTACCAGGAACCGAACCTGGGACTCTCTGGTCCGCAGGCCTATAATCCAACCGCTGAGCCAAACTGGCCAGGGCTAAAACTGTTTTATGGAGAAGTGAATGCTAGGACCTCTTTTCTCTTTTGAATTTGTGAATTTTAACTGGACTTATCCTAAAGGGACACATTTGATAGAAATTCTTTTTTCAGGTACAAAAATTACAAAATATCATTGCAAGTCGAGCTACTCAATATAATCATGATATGAAGAGAAAAGAGCGTGAATATAATAAACTAAAGGAACGTCTACATCAACTTGTTATGAACAAGAAGGATAAAAAAATAGGTAAGAAGCAGCAGCTAAGATTAGAGCAAAGAGAATAAATAATTAGTACTGTGCTAAGAAATAAATGTAAAAGCATTGAGCACAGTCACTTCTGAAGTGTTATTTTCATGCTTTATACAGTTTTTAAAAAATGGTGTATATCCATATAAACTACAACTTGAGACAACTGGTGAGTGAAAAATAGTAATTTTGCTGTGCTTACTAATTGCATATAAGAATCGTATTTCTTGCTAACATGGCAGGTGTGGATTACTCCATAGAGACAAACTAAGCCAGAGGACACACTCTCTGATCTTCCATAATAAAGAACCGTAATATTAAAAATCAGGATCAGTTGCTGAGTATCAGAAGTATGTTTTTGAAAAAAATGTTGGCCAAAATGACCAATAATTTGTCATTTTGAGTTCCTTTAAGTTGTACATTTTTGAAGCAACTATTCAAAAGGATGGACTATGAAAGTTGCGCTTATATTTGTGTCTAAGGTATACTTCTGTCTAGTATTTTTTTCTGAAAATTAATGTATAACTTCATCACAGTATGTGCATAAGAAGTAGATCTAAACTTACACAAAAGCAGAGCTACACAGATAGTTTTGCTGGCCTGATAAGATTCAAGGAACAGGAAATCTGCGTTTATTGACTGAAGCATGGTTTCCAAGTGGACAGTAGTCTGTCTTGTAACCTTGTTTTGTACAGTCATGCCCCTAAACTCTTTGTAAACTGAAATTGGACTTGCATACAACAGCTAATGGGCAGATGTTTCCAGCTGTCACGTGGTGGGCTCTGCCTGCTATCAGCAAGCAGTTCAGTGATGACTGCATCTCTGTATAGCAGAGATTTTATTTTTAAAATTATTGAAAATGAAAGTGTAATAAGCAAGACAAGGTTGAAAATCTTTAGGTATTCTAAGGTAGTGAATCTTGAACTACACTTGGACACTCACTGTTTTTTTATTTTTTTAATGTTTTTATTGATTTTTTTAGAGAGAGAGAGGAAGGGAGAGAGAGAGAGAAACATCCATGTGAGAGAGATACATCATCAATCGGCTGCCTCCTGTACACCCCCCCCCCCCATTGGGGATTGAGCCCGAAACCCTGGCATGTGCCTTGACCGGGAATTGAACCAGGACCTCTCAGTGCGTGGGACAGCACTCAATCCACTGAGCCACACTGGCTTGGGCCACTAATTGGTGGGGTTTTTTAGGATTTTTTTTTTTTCCTTTATTGATATTAGAGGGAGAGAGAAGAAGGGGGGGGACATCAATGAGAGAGAACATCAGTTGGCCACCTCCTGCATGCCCCCCACTGGGGATTGGGTCCACAACCTGGGCATGTTCCCTGACGGGGAATCGAACCGGCGACCTCTTGGTGCATGGGTCAGTGCTCAACCACTGAGCCACACTGGCTGGGCCACTCATTGGTTTTTAAGGTTGGTTAACCTTGTGTTTATTTATGAAGAAAATAAAGGATTAAATGCTAGAAGTATAACAAGTATCACCTAGAGAAGTTTATTACAATTTTACTCTGGTAACAAAGCCCTTACTTTATTGGGGCAGGGGGGAGGACTCGCTAGTTCACAAACCCAGTTGGAAGTAACAGGTTCATAATGATTTTATCAGCTCTAAACTCTCATCGTACTTCCTTCTTATGCCAACTGTTTCCACCTACACCTGGTGCAGACAAAGCATTAATACTGACGGAGCCTCAACTCCTTTACTGCTGCTGCTGCTGCTGCTGCTGATGATGCAGGGCTTTGCAAACTTCTGTAAAGGTCAAATACTCAGTATTTTCGGATGTTTGGGGTCTAAACTCTGTATCTCTGCCATTGTAGTACAAAAGTAGCTGAAAGACAATATATAAACAAATGGTGTGGCTGTGTCCTAGTAAGTCTTTATTTATAAAATCAACCAGCCAGCCTGCAGGACTTAGTTTGCCAACCCCAATGATAAAATTAATGATGATAATAAAATAACATTTATTAGGTACTTACTGTGTTAAGTGCTTTAACATTTCTTTTGTTCTTCACAACTTCTCTTTGTTAGATACTTTCATTATTATATTACCTGTATGGATGAAGAAACAGGCTTAGCAGATAAATAAGCATAAGATCTCAGTGCTTATAAATGATGGAACTGTAATGTGAAATTTGGGCTGATTGAACCCAAATCTTAATCTGTATACTAGGTTGATTTACGTGCCTGATAAGTTATAGAGAGTGTATTACCGTTTTAAACACTTAAACGTATATGGTGAGAATTAGTATTGTTTTGTGTGTTCTTTTTTGTAGCTATGGAAGTTTTAAATTATGTGGGGAGAGCTGATGGAAAAAGAGGCTCTTGGAGGACTGGTAAAAGTGAAGCAAGGTCAGGTACAATTTAAATTGATCAATTTAGTCAGACTTTTTCTATACTGCATTTTCACAGTGACAGTTTCTTTTTTAGGAATGAAGAGGAAATGTATAAAATTCTCTTGAATGATTATGAATATCGTCAGAAACAAATCCTAATGGAAAATGCTGAACTTAAGAAGGTTCTTCAGCAAATGAAAAAGGAAATGATTTCTCTTCTTTCTCCCCAAAAGCAGAAACCTAGAGAAAGAGCAGATGATAGTACAGGAACTGTAAGTGGCTCTTTGTTCTCTCATATAGTCTTCAGGTTGCTAATTAGAACAGTTGAAACACTAGATAGATATTCTCAATGGGGACACTGTTGATATTTTAGAAACAGGAGGACACTTTCTGCCATGCTACCCACAGTCACCATGACAACCAAAAAAATTTCCCTGTATGTTTCCAGACGTGTCCTGGGAAATGATGGAGGTTATTTTCTGAGGATTTCATCTATGCCAAACACTGTGATAAGCACTTTTATAAACGTTGTGTCATTGCATTCTTATTATAATGTGATGCTTTTGATGCCATCATTATCCCCATTGTATAAATGAAGGCACCTGAGGCACAGTAGTAGCTCAGTGTCACACATGACAGAGCCAGGGTTTGAATCCAAGTCTGTCTTACCCCAGACTTCATGTTTTTAACCACTGTGCCACATATTCTTTAAATATTTTATTTTAAGTATTGTGTACTTAAGCATGCTCTACTTTTCAGGGAGTGGAACCTTTGTTAACTTTAGGAACCAAATAATCATTCAGTTCATAAATACATTGAGTGTACATTATGTTCTAGTCCCTGGAAAGAAAACACTAAAAAGATTTTGACTTTTCCCCTTGTCTTTGTGTCTTTGTTTGGGATGCTATAACAAAGTACCATAGACTGGTTTATAAACAACAAATTGATTTCTCACAGTTCTGGAGCCTGGAAGTCCAAAATCAGGGCGCCAGCAGATTCGGTGCCCAGGGAGGGCCCTCCTCTTGGTTGCAGATTGCTGACTTCTTGCTGTATTTTCACATGGTGGAAAGGGCCAGAGAGCTTACTGGTCCCCTTCATAGAGGCACTCATCTCTTTCACGAGGGCCCTGTGCATGACCTGATCACCTCCCACAGGCCACCTCCTAATACCATCCCACTGGGGGTTAGAATTTCAATGTGTGTGTGTGTGTGTGTGTGTATTTTTTTATCCTCACCCGAGGACATTTTTCCATTTTTTGTTCAGATAGAGTGGGAGGGAGAGAGAGAGAAACATCAATGTAAACGGGATACATCGAGTGGCTGCCTCCCGCAGACCCAACCAGCGCTGGGGACAAACCGCAACCGCCGCACATGCCCTTAGGGGGAAGCAAACCCAGGTCTCTGGTCCGCAGGCCGATCCTCTAACTGCTGAGCCAAATGGGCCAGGGCTCAATGTATAAATTTTGAGGGAGCACAACATTCAGTCCACTGCATCCCGCAAGAAGCTCTTGTGGGGAGAGAGAGATGTAGAGAGTAATAATTCTATCACCATTATAGGGCTATATAATAGGGTGGTGCCATGTGTAAAACAAAACAGTTATGGCAATCAAGGAAGGCCTCATAGAGCAAGTGACATTTGAGTTGGCACTTAAAAAGTTAGTTGTTTGTGAGGTAGAAAGCATGGGTAAGCATTTGATAAAGGGAGAATAATGTGTGAAGGTTCGAAAAAACAAGACAATGGTGAAAAGATTTTTTATGTTAATTGCTTTACATCTAAGTTTAAATTCTGGATTCAAGATTTGTGACGAAAATCTGAAAATAACAATGTTGATAGAAAATGCTAATTACCAGCACGTCACTAGAACTTGTTTTTGTACCTTCCTTTTTGAAAGTTTGCATTCTGCCACTTCACTTTTTTGAAAACCCTACATTAGTATGTGTTTTTGCTAAGTAGAAGAGATCCGAAGAGGATTTTCACTTTTAAATTAATAGTAATTGCTTCTTCACTTGACTCCATTTCAACTTATGGGAGGTTTTGTAGGCACTTGGATAGCAGGGGAAACTGGTATGTTTGTAGTATCACAGATCCCTTCAACCCATAAGCCCATACCACCTCTTACCTTTTTTTTCTTTTTTAAAAACATTACCTGAATGTTCTTTTAAACTCTACAATTTGGGGCCTGCTTAGTGTCTTATATTTAACCTTTTCTCTCAAAATCTCTCCCTTCTGGTCAGGTTCTTAACATTCACTAATACCTCCCCAAGATTGGCATAGTTTCTGTTACTCCTGTAGTTGCTTAAGTTTTTGGCCCAGCCTTTACTAACTGCTCATTACCAGCTTTTAGTCAGCAAAAGTAGGTGGTAAATCAAGAAAATCCTTCTCAGAGAATTAAATTCCCCTTCTCTCCAATTATTCAGCCAGCAGGTAGCATCTGTGTAATTCATAATTCAAATGTTTAGGTTTGGAGAAACAGTTTCTTAAGTATATTTTCAGTTTTTTAAAAGATTTTATTTTCAACCAGCTGGTGTGGCTCACTGAGTGTTGTCCCATGGACTGAGAGGTCCCGGTTCAATTCCCGGTCAGGGCACGTGCCCAGGTTTCGGGCTTGATGCCCGTAGGGAGTGTGCAGAGGCAGCTGATCCATGTTTCTCTCTCTCTCCCTTCCTATCTGTCTCTAAAAAATCAGTAAAAACTTGTTTAAAAAATAAGAGATCTGTTTTTCTAGATCCTTTTTTTTTTTTTTTTTTACAATTGAGTAAATCAACTATATCTTCCTTTTAAGGAAAAATTTTGGAGCATTATAGCGAGAAGAATGAGATGTAATATTGGAATGTCTAGGTAGCATTCAGGTTTCATTTATTTATTATTTGCTTAGTTAATTGTAGCCAAAATTTATACTCAAAGTTCACATTAAATTAAATTTTTATTTTCATTTTGTGGTTTTAGAGTTTCATTCATTTTGGAAATGTGTAGCAATTTTGTTCATTTTTTTTTTAAATGATGGATTTTTAGTATTTTTTAAAATATATAGAAAAGAAGGTATACCTCTTGGGAAAAGTTACTGGCAAATAGCTTTGGAAGATTGATTGGCAAAAACCAGAGTCACAATGAGCTACACCCTGGGCATTTCCCCACCTGCTCCCCATGGTGACCTTGACCTCTACAACCTATTACTGACCTCACTATTGCTACAAATCTTCAGATTTAGTTAGGACTGACTGTTTTATGTAGATTCAGATTATTATGACATATTCATTTTAATAATGTTTCTATATGTTCTTTATCCTTTGATTCTAGGTGATCATATGCAGTAATTCAGTTTGTTACACTTTCCTGTGATTTGATGTCTTGGTAGAATTTACAAAGAAAAATAATCTCCAGTTTTTTTTATCTTTACTTGAGAATATTTTTTCGTTTATCTTCAGATAGAGTGGGAGAGGAGGGGAGAGAGAGAGAGAGAGAGAGACATTGATGTGAGAGAGAGACACTGATTGGTTGCCTCCTGCATGACCCCGACCAGGGCTGGGGACAAACCACAACTGAAATACATGCCCTTGGGAATCAAACCATACCAGCCAGGGCATCTCCGGTATTATTTTGTAAATTTACATGAGAAAATAGGAATAGTAGTTGCTTTTACTTTGGAGATTATTTCACAGGTTTATTTAAGCAGCCTAAGATTGTAGACAGGTTGATCTAACTTGTCTCAATTCTACCTCTTTGGCTGTGTGACATTGGGCATGTTATTCTACGTCTCTAAGCCTGAGTTTCCCCACATTGATTTGAGTAGTACTTAACCTGTGGAAGCATCTAACACATCAGACAGGTAGTAAGTCTTCCTCACACAGCTCCATGACTCTTGTCACTAACTCTGGATTCAAATTCAGGTTTGAAGAGACCTGAATTGGGGAATGTCTACCTTCAACATTAATTGCTTTTTCTTAAAATACTCAGTCATATATTCTTAAGAGACAGCACAGAAATGATTTTGATAAGTATTTGACAATCAATCTGATTACTGCTTAAGTATCTAAAGCCATTTTAAGATACTAGTCTTTTCATCTCTTGTAGGTTATCTCTGATGTTGAAGAAGATCCCGGGGAGCTGAGTAGAGAGAGTATATGGGACCTTTCCTGTGAAACTGTGAGAGAGCAGCTTACAAACAGCATCAGGAAACAGTGGAGAATTTTGAAAAGTCACGTAGAAAAACTTGATAACCAAGGTAACTAACTACTGCCTTAACTACATGCAGTGAGTTGTGATTCTCGGTGAATTTAATTTTCAGTCACTTAAAAAGCCATGTTTTGAGATCAGACCTGAAGTATTTTAGCTCATTTGGGTAGTTTGAATCTCACTGAGAAAATACACTTACTTGGCTCTAGGAGTGAATCTCTGAAAAGAAGACATCATGATTCATGAGCGCTGAATGCAGTGTGCAGCTGGATGAAGTGGTCAGTGTACTGAATCTTGGAAATCAGGAAACACTAATCAGCCCTGGCCAGTTTGGCTCAGTGGTTAGAGCGTCAGCCTGCAGTCCAGAGAGACCCGGGTTCAGTTTCCACTCAGGGCGCGTACCTCGGTTGCAGTTTGTCCCTGGCCCTGGTTGGTCGTGTGGGTGGCAGCCACTCGATGTGTCCCTTTCACATCGATGTTTCTCTCTCTCTTTCTCTCCCTCCCACTCTATCTGAGCAAAAAATATGGAAAAATGTCCTCGAGTGAGGATAAAAAAAAAATACTAATCATTATATGGTACAAATATGAATGTTTTGCTTATTCTAGATACTTGTATCTGGGTTCCTAATCAATTTTTTAAAATTTTTTATATATTTTTTTTATCCTCACCCGAGGACATTTTTGCACTTATCTTCAGATAGAGTAGGAGGGAGAGAGGGAAGAAGAGAGAGAGAAACATCAATGTAAGACACATCGACTGGTTGCTGCCCACATGACCCCAACCAGGGCCAGGGATAAACCGCAACCAAGGTACCTGCCCCTAGCAGGAACTGAACCCGGATCTGTCTGGTCTGCAGGCCAACGCTCTAACCGCTGAGCCAAACCAGCCAGGGCTTTATGTTTTTATTGATTTTTTTTTTTTTTTTTTTTTAGAGAGAGAGAAACATTGATATGGTAGAGAAATGTTGATCGGCTGCCTCCTGTATTCCCCCTACTGGAGATTGTGCCTTGACAGGGAATTGAACAGGGACCTCTCAGTTCATGGAAAATGCTCATTCCACTGAGCCACACTGGCCAGGCTAGTAATCCCTTTTTAAATTATTTTCAGAATAATAGATGTTCAGTGTTTTTGTGTCAATTAGGGAGTACATAGAGTAGAATATCCAGGTCTCTATTCCCTGTGTGTAACACTTACCAGTTTGGTGCATATCTTCTTTTTTTTTAATCCTGTGCCCAAGGATATGTTTTTTATTGATTTTAGAGAGAGAAGTGAGAGAGACACACATACACACAGACATTGACGTGAGAGGGAAACATTGATCTACTGCCTCACGTACAAGCCCTGACTGACCCCAACCAGGGATCGAACCTTCAACCTAGGTATGTGCCCTGACCAGAATCGAACCCATAGCCTTTTGGTGTACAGGACGATACTCCAACCATCTGAGCCACTGGCCAGGGTGGTGTATATCTTTCTAGACTTTTCTCTTTGCATTTGCAAAATATTTATTTAAAAATTCATAAAAAAACAAAAATTGAGTATCTTAGACACCTTCTCCTGTCAATACAGATAATATAGATAGCTCTACATTGATGAATATATTAATATTTTATATTTATTAACGTTTACATGCTTTTAAATCAAGAAAATTAAGTTTCTGCTAAGTAAGTGAAGTCTATTTTTAAAAATTATTCTAAATTGTCAAAAATAAAAAACTCAGTGCCAGTTGCCTTCGATAATAAAAAACAATGAGCGACATTATTATAAGTATCAAAATTAGTTTACATGAGATTTTACTGATTTGAATGAGTCATCACTATTAGTAAATAGCAAGTATGTTTTGACTTCATATTTGTTGAATTTAATACCAGAGAGCAAGATTTATAGCACTTCATTGTTCTTTGAAGAAGTGTCAAAAGAACATAGTTTATGAATGTTATTTTTCACTTTTGTGAATATAGGTTGTCCATTTTTAATTAGCACATGATCTTCAGTAAATATGGATTACAAATTAAATGTTGGCAATAAAGATCTGTTTGTATGGATATCGTTTAGTCCAAAAAGAGTACCAATTTATAGTTGTTATAAACTCCTTACAGTTGCTTAGCTTTTTAAAAATTTTCAAGTGTTGCTCTGGCTGGGTGGTTCAGTTGATTGAAGCGTCGTTCTATACACCAAAACTTTCGGATTTAATTCCCAGTTAGGGCACTTACCTATGTTGCATGTTCAATCCTCGGTTGGGGCCACCAACTGATGTTAGGTACTTTCTGATAAAGAAAAATTTTCAAGCATTAAAATAATATAAATTTAATTTTATTATAGCTTATGAAAAATTTAAAGGGCACAGGGAAATAACTGTTTTTGGAAAACCTATGGGATTCCAGAAAGAGAAAAGTTCTGAAAGCCTTCATTTTATTTATTTATTTATTTATACTAATTAATTTTTGTTACAGATGTTTCTCCTTTTTCCCCCACTGATTCCCCCCTCCCCCTCCCTCCCTGCCCTGTCCCCAGCTTTGTTGTCCATGTCCATTGTTCATGCATACATGCATGTAAGTTCTGTGGTTTATCTCTCCCCCACCACCCCCTCTTCTGGGGATTGTCAGTCTGTACCCCACTTCCACGTCTCTGGCACTACCCCATTCCTCAGACTGCTATGTTCATTATATTCCACAAATAAGTGAGATCATATGATACTTGTCTTTCTCTGTTTGGCTTGTTTCACTTAGGATGATACTTTCCAGGTCCCTCCATGTCGTCTCAAAGGATAAGAGATCTTTCTTTCTTACAGCTGCATAGTACTCCATTGTGTATATGTACCACTGCTTTTTTATCCATTCATCTACTGATGGACACTTGGGCTGTTTCCAGATCTTAGCTATTGTAAATAGTGCTGCTACAAACATGGCGGTACTTACATTCTTTCTGATTGGTGTTTCAGGCTTCTTAGGGTATATTCCTAGAAGTAGGATCACTGGGTCAAATGGAAGTTTAATTTTTAATTTTTTGAGGTAACACCATATTGTCTTCCATAGTGGCTGCACCAGTCTGCATTCCCACCAGCAGTGTACTAGAGTCCCCTTTTCTCCACACCCTCGCCAGCACTTGTTTGATGATTTGTTGATGGCGGCCATTCTGACAGGTGTGAGGTGATACCTCATTGTTGTTTTAATTTGCATCTCTCTGATGATTAGTGATGTTGAGCATTTCTTCATATGTGAGAGCCTTCATTTTTAAATATGTCCAAAAGACACTGTAAACTAAATGGTGACTGTTAAATGTTACGTCTAATTACTGCTTTGTGTTAGTTTCAAAGGTACACCTAGAAGGTTTTAATGAAGAAGATGTAATCTCACGGCAAGACCATGAGGAAGAAACTGAAAAACTTGAGTTAGAAATTCAACAATGTAAAGAAATGATTAAAACTCAGCAACAGCTTTTACAGGTAAATGTGAGTTATTTTTTAAAACTATTCTTCCTTGAAAAGGAACCAGGATGTTACTGAAACTTCCTAGATTTTATTCCTTTATTTCATAAGATCTATAGTATTTGACATTTAAATATCTGCTCTAACGGGTAGTTCTCTGCTTCCTAACAGGTAGATTTCATATCACTGCTTAGTTGGTCTTTGGCAGTTAGAGTAGATGCATTTGGGAAACGACACACCGCAGTGGACATTCTCATTCTTCCTGAGTACTGTCCATCCCCTAAAGTTTGACCCGCCTTCCCTTGTCATTTCAACTTGGTGGAGTGTTTGTTGCAGGGACCTCTGGAACTTACTGTGTCTTAAAATCCAACAGCAGCAGCTTGCTACTGTGTGTGATGATGATACGACTTCACTGCTCCGAGACTGTTATTTATTGGAAGAAAAGGAACGACTCAAAGAAGAGTGGTCCCTGTTTAAAGAACAAAAAAAGAATTTCGAGAAAGAAAGACGAAGCTTTACAGAAGCTGCCATTCGCCTAGGAGTAGAGGTATTTTAAATAAGTGGCTTTCCTTGTAGAGCTGTTCAGAGTTGTGAGGAGGCCTCAGGAAGAATCCGTCCAAGTTCTGTCTGTTTAAACGTATTTTACCAGTGACTTCATAAATAACTTGAAATGAAAGGGATGCCAAGCATGTGAACTGTAGAAGGATATCTTTTTGCCTTTACCAGATTTGGGGATTGAAAATTTTTCAAAAACAACCAAGCATTCATCATCCCTTTTGGATTAGCTTTCCTGTTGTTAAGTGTGTAGCATCACGAGAGATTTCGTGTGGGCCTCTGTCGTCCATCCACTGTCAGTAGGTATGGTGTCAGAAGACAGTACAAACAAGAGCATGTTTGTGGTTTTTTTATTTAAAAAGGAAGTATGGTAAAAATCCAGTCCCTCACTCACGGTGCGTGCCTCACCTTTGAGTTTGGACTGTTGTGTGTGCACTTCTGCAGTGTGCTGTTTTTACTTAGCAGTGTCACCTACAGATTTCCCTTTCAAAAGTTAGAGAAGTAATGTCAGTCATGGTTTAAAAAATAAAATCAACCCATGCAGAAAGCTGCAAAGTGAGAAAGCATCCTCCTTTCTCATCGCGTTTCTTTCCTTAAAGGTAACCACTGTAACAGGTTTCTGTTTGGCATTCTTCTGGGAAATACTATTTTAACTTTAATACATTTCAACGTTTTTTCCCCCTTGATATCAGTCCATTGATTCCCCGCTGTGAAAGAGAAGGCGTTTGATGTCGTTATCTTACTTACCATCTGCACTGCTCCTTTGTTCATAATGTTGTTACTTTTTTAAACAACTTTTTTTGTTTTTTTCTGGTTAACCTTTTTACTTTGAGTAAACTGTTTAATGCTCCTACTTCATGTGTGTGCAGCTTCAGACAGTATTAATTTATCCTTGCTATGGAAGATGACATTCTCTTCATTGCACTTATCTTACTTCTCTTGGCCCTGTACTTCTCAATTTTTGTGATAGTATTTTTCATTGTCAAGTGTTACCATGTTTATATTCTGGCCTATAATATAATCCAGGTGTAAGTACTTTGTGTATGATTGAGACTTAAAAATTGAAAACCAGGAAAGAATATTGATAGCATCATGGTTATGTAAATGTTATTCATTTTATAACTAAGTAATATGTTTGGACACATAGAAAATATTCTATATTATTAAGACTGCCATCTGAAAGAGAATCTTCTATGTATCACTGTGTAGTGAATTATTTTACTTTCTTCCTAGTGTCCTTTATGATTTCCTGATTCAGAGTCAGCTGTTATGTTTCTTATACCTCATATTAGCCTTTTTCTTGGGTTCCTCTTTAAGTATGCTGTAGTACGTTATTAATTTTCTCATAGTAGTGTGGTGAGTGAAAAATATTTTGAATTCTGGAATATATAAAAAATATATTCATACTTGATTGATTTGGCTGGATATAGATTCAGGTTCCAACTTTTCTCATTGAAACTTTGAAAAAGTTATTCCATTTTTTCTGGTATGTGGTTTTGCTCATGAGAAGCCTTATTATAATATAACCTACATTACTTAGTAAATACCCTGTGTTTTGTTTCCTTTCCACCTCCCTCTCGGAAGCTTTTGGAATTTTATATCCATCAAGTTCTGAAATTTTATCAGAACCTGTCTAGCTGACTCCTTTTTGCCTGAAGATAACACTATATTTCTTTAGCTTAGGGAAATTTTTTTCTATTCTGTATTTTTCCTCCTGTGACTTCTCCCTCATTCTGAAACTTTTATTAGACAGATGTTTGGCCTTCAGACTGTATCTATAGATTGACCTTACGTTCTGAATGTGGGGATGTTCTCTCACCTTTATCTTGTACCTCAGCAGCCTGGTGTTCAGCAAGGTCAGTTTCACTATTCACTTCATCCACTGAGGTTTTATTTCAGAGTTTATCTCTTAAGTTTTTAATGTCTTTACTTTTTGCTTTTCTTTATATACCATTGTGTTATTTTATAGGTGTTCACAAGTCTATTGGATAGTTTATATTATAGTTTTTTTTAAAGATTACTTTTTCTATCTTGAACTACCTGTTATCCATGATCAGTTCTCTTTATCTTGGCCATTTTTTCTCTTATACTATTAGTTTTCTTCAATGTCTGGTGATGAATGATTTTATATTAATATTTATGAGTGAAAGACTGTATGTTGGTTATTTTAAATAGTTGACATGGATTTTCTCCACAATTGTGAAAGGCAATTTCATAAATAGCTATCTTTCTCAGGAAACAAAAACAATCTGCACTAGCATTTTCCGTTTTATAGACCACCTCTGTTTCTGAGCTCATATCCCCACCCTACTCCAAGAGATGCTTGTGCTACTTTGCATATCGCTCCCAGTTCTCTGAGGGGAACCTCTCTGCCTCTGGTCTGGGGGGTGGCAGGGCCAGGGAAGGATGGGAAGGAAGGAAGGACCAGAAACCTAAGGGGTGGGGTAGAATTTAGTTTAGGATTCATCAGCTTTATGGAAGGGGGAGGTTTGACATCTGCCCCCTTGTGGTTTAGTGGTGCTGCTCATACTGGTAGATGGTTGGAGGATGAGGGCGATGCTTGATGAAGCCTTATGTCCTTTTTTTATGTGATTTATTTACAGTGGGGTGTTTTTTTATTTATGATTTTATGTATATAATGTTCTGTATGTTCAAAAGGTATGCTAATATTCTGTATGTTTAAAAGTTATGCTAATATGCTATTTTTTTTACATTGTCCATTTGAATTTATTCAAAATTGATGTGAAAAAGCGGTGATTAGTTTGTTTATTAGGTGAAAGAGGTGACTTTTTTAAACAATTTTCTTAAATGAAATTTTTCTTAGTTTTCTAGGTTAATTCATTTGACTTAAGGAATATTGTATGTGGTGGCCAGAAGGCACACACATTTAAATATCTAGAGAAATCGTGTGAAATGGCAACTATGTGAATGTTGAAATGTTGATCAATATTTCTTTGGTTTGCTTGTTATGATAGAGAAAGGCATTTGAAGAAGAAAGAGCCAGTTGGTTAAAGCAACAGTTCTTAAATATGACTACCTTTGACCACCAGAATTCAGAAAATGTGAGAGTTTTCAGTGCCTTCTCAGGAAGTGAGTATTTCATAAACTCTTTACTCTGAAAATGCATGTAAGTAAACTACTGTAAATTATTAATAGGAAACTTTGGAGAGCACCAGTAAGAGCTTTCTAATTGGAACTAAAAAATCAACTTTAATATTTTATTTACTGTGGTCAAAATGGGAATCACAAGAGGACTGTACATACCAAAGACAACTTTTGTTGTGTGATAATGTCAAATTTTTGAAAATTTACATAACAAATATTTATTTTATTTATATATATATATTATGTTTTTTAATCCTTACCCGAGGACATTTTTCTATTTATCTTCAGATAGAGTGGGAGGGAGGGGGAAAGAGAGAGAGAAACATCAATGTGAGAGAGACGCACTGACTGGCTGTCTCCCACACGGCCCCTTCCAGGGCTGGGGACGAACTGCAACCGAGGTACGTGCCTTTGACCAGAATCGAACCCACGACTCTTTGGTCCTCGGGCCAGCGCTCTAACTGCTGAGCCAAGCTGGCCAGGGCAAAACAGAAATATTTTTTAAATGATCCTTTTAAATATTTGTGGAGTCAGCATAACGAAGATTACAGGATGAGCTAAACTAGCGTTCTGTGTCTCACACCTTATTCAGAACTACAAATGATTCATCCCAGTTAACCTACAAATGATTCATCATAGTTAATCACTTTCACTATATTTATTACCTCACCGTATACACTGCCTTTTTTTGCCCACAGGTTCTGATCCAGATAAGCTTACAGTGCACTCAAGGCCACAGCAAAAGCCCCACAGGGTGTCTAACGGGTCTCCAATTTGTACCTCTAAACTTACAAAATCTCTTCCTGCTTCTCCTTCGACTTCAGACTTTTGCCAGATGCGTTCCTGTGTATCTGAACATAGGTATTGGTCTATCGGTCATCTTCTCACGTATACATAACATAGCTGGAGTTGCACTGCTAAGGAAAAGTTGGCATGTTTGTAGAATTAGCAACAGTAGAGGTTTTTGAGAGGCATTTAGTAGGTTGATTCATTCATCATGCAAATATTTATTGGGTGTCCCTTATCTATAGACAACTGTTAGGTGTTGGGAATACAGTTGTGAGCAAGATAGATCTAGTTAGTCTCTGTCTTCTGGGAGCTAAATGATATAATGTGATTTTTTTTTTAATTTCACATTTTAAAATACAATTTAGAATATAGTCTCATTTATAGGAATCACTTAGTATTTTAAGTACTTAAATTTTATTAACTAGAAGGATATTGTTTTGACAGTTTTTGTAGAGCACATGTTTTAGTTCCTTTCGGTGTGCCCATTGCATTGGTGTGGAAGGGCAGAGCACCGAGGCGAGCCTGCCCATCTGACTGTAAAGAGGATCTATGCCTGAGGATGACGGGGTCACACAGCTGCTCCCCCTCCCAGGAAACCCATGGATTGCTATTAGCTGCTGCATTTTGGTATATTCCTCTCTCAAGTTGAATCATTTTCTAAGATATATTATCAGTTCTCCACCTCACACCCTATTCCAAGAATAGCTTTGAACTAATTGGCTAGACCGTGGCTAGTGATACAGAGGAAGAGAGGAGAGCTGTGGGCTGCGTGGAAAGTGTGTGCTGATCGCTTTCCTCTGCAAGGAGGCGGCGGGCTGCGGGTCTGGCCGTTTGCCGGGCGCCTTAGGAAGCAGGAGCGGGCCCGCAGCACCCTCGCAAGGCCTGGGGTAGTGAGGGACGGTGTGGAGCCTAGTGCTGAAGAAGCCGGCTAGCCCTGGGGCCAAGAACGTAAACAGATGAATTTTAAAACAAAAACATGAAGCTTTAAAAAAGGACAAGACACTCTAATTTAGAGTTGACTTTCAAAAGAATTAGGACACTAAGTCAATGTTGGGAGCAAAGAAGAGCTAGGGAAAGAGCCGTCCAGGCAAGTGTGGGGACCCTGAGGTGGGGACACTGGTGTGTTTGTGGTGGTGAGTGTAGTTAGCAAGCAAGACCAAGAGGGGGGGGCAGAGGGGTCACATCCTTTAAGACCCTGGGTGAGTAGATAGGGATTAAACTGTTATTTTGTATAAGTTAGAAAATATATAAATATAGAGAGAATAAGATCAGGAAACCCTGTGTACCCATCACCCTGCTTCAGCAGTTGTCAATTCAGGATAATATTGTTCCTGTGTGACCCTGCTCTGTTGCCTCTCCACCTGCCGCATATGCTCTTGAGATTTTATCTATAAAATAGTTTTAGTCTGTATTTGTAGGTTAAATATTATTCTAAGGGCAATGGAAAAGAACTGGAGACTTTTTAAGCAGGAAAGTGAAAAAAAAAAATTTTAATTTTTAAAAAGATTACTCCAGTCCTGCCAGTATGGCTCAGGTTGAGTATCAACCTATGCACCAAGAGGTCGCAGGTTCGATTCCCGGTCAGGGCACATGCCCAGGTTGTGGGCCCAATCCCCAGTGTGGGGCATACAGGATGCGGCCAGTCGATGTTCTCTCTCATCGATGTTTCTGTCTTTCTCCCTCTCCCTTCCTCTCTCTAAAATCAATAAAGAAAAAGAAATTTATTTATTTATTTATTTTTTAATTAATTTATTTTTTAATCCTCATCCGAGGACATTTTTCCATTTTTTGTACAGACAGAGTGGGAGGGAGAGAGAGGAAGAGAGAGAGAGGGAAACATCGATGTGAAAGGGACACATCGAGTGGCTGCCACCTGCACGACCGACCAGGGCCGGGGACAAACTGCAACCGAGGTACGTGCCCTTAGCGGGAACCGAACCCGGGTCTCTCCAGACCGCAGGCGGATGCTCTAACCGCTGAGCCAAACCGGCCAGGGCTTTTTTTGTTTGTTTGTTTAGGTAGAGTAGGGGGGAGAGAGAGGAACAGAGAGAGAGAGAGAAACATCAACGTGAAAGGGACACATCGAGTGGCTGCCACCCGCACAACCGACCAGGGCCGGGGACAAACTGCAACCGAGGTACATGCCCTTAGCGGGAACCGAACCCGGGTCTCTCAGGACCGCAGGCCGACGCTCCAACCGCTGAGCCAAACCGGCCAGGGCAAGAAATTTTTTTAAATAAATAAAAAATATACATCTATACATATATATATATAAACATAAATGGATTACAAAAATGCTTTTCTGTTTCTTGTATTCCAAGGTTTCATACTGTACGACATCAGTAGCGTAGAAACAGAATTTTGAACTTAAATTTCATTAAGCTGTTCACAGTGGCCTCAGAGAATGAAACAGGACAGAGGCATGTAACTAGTTATCAGGAGAGAAGTTGCAGCTTGGCGTAGTTCTTGAAATTTTATATTATTTGGTAAATTTGGGTTTCTGATCCTGAAGCACCTTGGGTCTGGGTTTTGTAATAAGGTTACAGCAAAGTAATTAGTAGTATTTGTAGGTAATTTCTATAACATCCTCACTACTCCTTCACATTAGGATGGAATTTCACATAAAGGCTGTGCCTGGGTTCCATGCAGAGTAATTGTACTAAATTAAAGAATTTGGTTGATCATTCATCTGAGATGGCAGGGATTCTGAGGGCCGAATTATAAGCAGGTTCTTTTTTTTTAAAGCAATGTTTGTTTTTGGTTTAACTTTTTATTAATTAATGCAACTTAATTTTTTTTAAGATTGCCACATTCTAAGATGGAGTTGGTAGACCAAAGTCAGAAAACATGAACATTTAGAAAAAAGTTTTTTGTGACAAAAATTCAACCTCATGAATTTGGAAGCAATCATTTAACAAGCTGTCTCTGTTTTGAGGCTGGTTGCAGAGCATGTTCAGGTTGTATTGCTGAAGTTAGGAGCTGTGTCTTTGTCCAGACACTAAAGTTGTGATTGCCTGACACAATTAATGAGCGCTGTTGTCAGTGCTTAGTGTATGTTAACTCATTTAGTTCCTGCCCCAACCCTGTGAGATAGGTTGCGTTATTATTTCTATTTTATGACTATGGTAGCTGCAGAACAGGGAGGTTAACTTACCACAGTGGTATAGTAAGTGGTTCAGCTGAGGTATGGCCTCTTAACCATTTTAGTAAGCACTCATTAAGTATCTGTGGGTGAATGGATGGGTAAATGAAACTGCATGAACAAATAGCCGAGGACTGATAGAAACTACAGAGACTGGAAAATAGTAGCAGAAAGATGGGGTATGGGAAACTTTCGCTTTCAGAACCCACATGTTCTCTGTCTATTTTGGGTTTTAGCTGGGCAGCGTGCTTTAGAGTTAGACTAAAGAGATAAATAAAAAAAATAGATGGATAACATAAAAGTGAATAATGAGGCCATTTTGAAAGACTTAATTTATTTGGATCAATGTGTCCTGAAAATTTCCTCAGCATGGACAAGGGAGCAGTCAGCCTGTAGCTGTTGAGGCATATCTACAGTGTAGGAGGAGGAGATGCTTACTACGATCTGCCTTTCTTTCCCCAGCAGTTCAGTCAGTGTGCTAAATATAACTCCTGAAGAGACTAAACCAAATCAGGTCGGAAGAGAATGTGCAAATCAGAAGTGGAGCGTGGCGGCAAGACCTGGGTCACAGGAAGGCTGCTGCAGTGGGTGCTCCTTGGCCTACACAAATGCCCACGTAGAAAAAGATGACTTGCCTTAGACATGTGGACTGGAATTTTTTTCATTAACATGTTCATCAAATTTCACATCTAAATTGAAACAGGGTGTGTCATAAAGTCAATCATCTCTAATAATTTAAGATGGTCTCAGTTGTTTGTTTGAACTTCCTGTTCTTCTCCCCAAAGAACTAAAATGTTAAATCTATTTAAAAGAATATAAAGGTTTGGATATGTATTTTTAGTAATAGAGGCATCTGGTTCTGTGAATAAAGTGATGTATAGATGTTTGGATGGAAACAAAAGCACTAGAATGAGTTTCCTCTTATAGGTATTAAAAATAGCACTTTTAGAAAAATGATTGTTGTAAATGTTTCAATTTTGTCCCATATATAGTTGAGAGTTTAGCCTTTACTTGAATGTATACTGTAGATTTTTAACAAAGCAAGTTCTATATTTATTATGTTTAGTGTGATTTGAAATTTGCTCTTTCATGTTTTAAATAAAGTGAAGTTTATGTATGTTTTGTACATAGATACACATGATTATGTTAAGAGGCTTTAAGATTTAAAAATTGTGCACATCCATAATTATAGTATTTCATGCCAATAAAATTTTTATTAGTGGGATTCTGTTTACAGGTGTATTGGAGCCATTGCCACATTGCGTGTAAGAGTTTTTGGAACCCATTTGAGCAATAAATATTCAAAAGCTATTTCATGAAGCCAAGTTCTTTAGATAATTAACATTACTAACATACATTTTTGAGATTTGTACAGCATTAGATTTTTAAAATATATGTAGATATAATTTTTCAAAGGAGTATTGATTATAGGGTAATAGAGGTAAGACAACAAAAGTACCTTTGAATAAAGCAATTTAAGAATATTGTCTCAAGCCTGGCCAGTGTGGTTCAGTAGTTGAGCATTGACCCATGTACCAAGAGATCGCCAGTTTGATTCCCAGCCAGGGCACGTGCTGAGGATGTGGGCCAAATCCCCAGTGGGGGGCATACAGGAGGCGGCCAATCGATGTTCTCTCTCATCGATGCTTCTGTCTCTCCCTCTCCCTTCCTCTCTCTCTGAAAAAGAGCATCGATCTGCTGGAAGTTGTGTTTCACCCATTAATTCTGCTGTCATGTGCATTCCACTCCAAAATGATTCCCAGTCACACTAACTTCCCAGGATGTGGAAGCGGCTGCCATACTGGGAAACTCCTGGCTCCACACAAAAAACTCCTAGGATCGTGTTTCCCTTCCCTTTCTAGGTATTTGTTGTGTACTGATGTTTTGACCTGGTTAGATTATGGTATACAGTGTACTTCAGCATGAAAAGTTCTGGTAACCTTAAATGTTTTGTTTATCAGTATGCAAATCTGAAATATTTTGTACCTGAAGTTGGTTTTTACAAGGCATATCCATTTTGATTTTTCAAACCATAAAAGTGGCAAAGAAAATTTAAGAGAAAAACTTTATTTCCTACTCTAAAAATTTTTGAATCTTCAATTTATGATGAGAAATTTAATAGAGGCATAATCATGCCAGAAAATTAAGATTAAAATTTAATAAATAGGTATTTTCTTGTAGAAGCAATGTATTAAATGTTTAGATTCATAGAACGGTTCATTTTTTCCTCACAGAATTAATATATTACTTAAGAGTTCCATATTGCCTACCTTGGACTTGTTCGTAGGCTATGATAACATGGTTTTGTGGGGAAATGTGTCCCATGGTGTATGGTGGAAGGGAGAGTGGCCTGGAATCCAGTGTTGACCTCCCCTGATGGGCGGGGCAGGAGATCTTCAGATGTGTGCGCAGAACGCCGTGAGCTAGCAAACCCCTCATTTGATGGCCCTGTTGTAAAAATCTTCCAAATATGTTGCCTAATATAAAATATGCTGTTAGTTACAGGTTGGATTTAAAGTAAGTATGGGTCATGAAAGTCTAGTTAATATACTTTTCCATGTGTTTGTCCTTAATTTTTTTCAATCTCATAATAAGCATTTATAAACTGCCTGCTGTATCAGGACTTATTTCTACATCCTAGTCAGTGGGGATCAGAAGACAACTAAGCCTACTCCCTGCAACTGAGAATCTCATACTTGAGTGGAAGACCAGCTCTATAAAACTAAATGGTAATAACTGATAAATGCTATTCAGACATCGTTAATAAAACTTGGACTGATTGTTCTGCTCCAGGCCTTCATAACAGTGACCTGGCTAGGCTTCTATTCCAGTTAGTCTTGGCATTATGTCCTATGGAAAGTAGTATGGAATTGATACCTTACTGTTTTGTTTTGCTGCATCTTTCTGATGGGTGTTTCAGGCTTCTTAGGGTATATTCCTAGGAGTGGGATCACTGGGTCAAATGGCAATTCAATTTTTAATTTTTTGAGGTAACACCATATTGTTTTCCACAGTGGCTGCACCAGTCTGCATTCCCACCAGCAGTGTACTAGAGTCCCCTTTTCTCCACACCCTCGCCAACACTTGTTGTTTGATGATTTGTTGATGGTGACCATTCTGACAGGTGTGAGGTGATACCTCTTTGTTGTACCCCCATGTTCATAGCAGCACTATTTACAATTGCTAAGATCTGGAAACAGCCCAAGTGTCCATCAGTAGACGAATGGATAAAAAAGCAGTGGTACATATACACAATGGAGTACTATGCAGCTGTAAGAAAGAAAGCTCTTATCCTTTGAGACGATATGGAGGGATCTGGACAGTATAGTATTATCCTAAGCGAAACAAGCCAAGCAGAAAAAGACAAATACCACATGATCTCACTTGTATACGGAATATAATGATCATAAAAGTCTGAGGAATAGGGTAGACTCAGAGACGTGGAAGTAGGGTACAGACAACCCTCAGAAGAGGGGTTAGTGGGGGGAGGGAAGATATAAACCACAGAACTTATATGTATGTACGCATAACCAATGGACATGGACAACAAAGCCAGGGATGGGGTTGGGGGAATGGGGAGGAGGGAGTCAATGGGGTAAAAGAGAAACATCTGTAACAAAAATAATAGTGTACAAATACCGTTTGAAAAAAATTTTTTCTGCCCACTAAAAACCGTGTATTATTATCTATTAGACGAACTATTTACAAAGCTTAGGGCTATGTAAATAAGGGAAATGAAATAGGTTATTCTAGTCATTTTCTAAATACTGGTTTTTTTCAGGCTATATGTAAAAGTGGAGTGGTCTGTTGATTTATATAAAAACTTGCACTTGACTGGTTAAGAGTTTTTAAATTTTTAACATTTACAAATAATTGCTGCAAAGGTATCATGAATTACTGTAATGCCAGTGATACATAAAGGTCTGCAATATTCATATATTTGATGTTCAGAAATATTTATACCCAGTATGATGCTTAACACACAGTAAGCAGATAATATTTGTTAATGAGAAATATAAAATTGTTTTAATTTGCATCTCTGATGATTAGTGATGTTGAGCATTTCTTCATATGTCTGGGCAGAAAATCTTATACTACTTTGCAGGTCACTATTTTGTTGAAAACAAAACAAAATATAAAATTACTAGTTTATTGGCATAAACAGACTATAAATTTCAGATCAGAATCTTAAAACTTCCCATGAGGGTAGGAACTTTCTGGGTATATTCCTAACCCTATGTAGCTTGGTTCCCTGCACAGAGCATTAGGATAGAATAGGCCATCATACAAATAAACACAAAATTGGTGTGGCTCAATACAAAAGTTTAATTTTTGCTCATGAAATGTTTGATATGAATTGGATAGTCTTCCACCATCTTTATCTGGAACACATGAGGTGATGTTGGCAATGAAGGACCTGACTGAAGAGACATGGTTTCCACCTTGACTACTACTCTAAGAGCAGCCCAACCTAACTACAAACACGGCTGGGAGAGAGATGGCAGCTATTTTGTGATTGATGATGTAGCTGGGGCTTGATAGTTCATCCATTAATTACTTATTTTAAAAACAGTACAACACTGCACTCTGTGCAAGGGACTTATTGCTCGATTATTAAAGGCTTCAATATTAATTTTTATAAGGAATGTATTTAAGACTCACCTTCTCTAACATTTTTCATAATACAAAGTTTTAAGATGTTCAGATGGTGGTTTTACACAGTTACTAAAATATCTTACAGTGCACAGAACACTTTTTCTTTTGATCCAATAACCTTGTGAGAGATTATGAACCATATTTTTAGAGCTGGTAACAGACTCAGATGTTAAGTGATGAACCTAAGGTCACATAACTAGTAAGTGATGAAATCAGAACTTAAAAACCAGATCTTCCGATTTCTAAATTTCCAACTTATTTCAGACTGCTACATTGCCTTTCAGTGTGACCTTTTAAATGAAATTGTTCCATTCATAACCCCTAATCTGCCAGCGGTTCTCAACCTGTGGGTCGCGACCCCTTTCAGGGTCTAACGACCCTTTCACAGGGGTCGCCTAAGACCATTGGAAAACATATTTCTGATGGTCTTAGGAACCGAGACACCCGCTGCTCTGACCTCTCCAGGCGTGTCCGCCCACATGCCGATCCGCCCACATACAGGAGGAATCCTACTAAAGGGTAGCAGCATTAGGAAGGTTGAGAACCACCAAAGAAAGGTACTTATTTGGTCCATGTGTAAGACTCAACCTGGTTTTGTGATATTGTGGCAATTCTATTCAGAATTAGACCCAATCTTTTCAAAATTAGGGCATTAAGGCTCTCATTGAAATAGCAAGTTTAAAAATAAAAACAAGGTTAAAAGAATAGTTTGGTATTCCAAAATGGCGGCGGAGAGAGCGGAAGCTACACTGACCATCTCCCAGACCAAACTGGAATTACAACTATAACACAGACAAATCGACAGGGAAAAGCAACAGAAAAGCAGCTTGCAAGGACCATATAACCAGGGGCACTGACTCGATCCTGGAAGGACTGCGAAGGCGTGAGACGGGGGCTGGGAGCCCACGGTCGGCAGCTCGGCAGCGGCCTTAGCTGGGAGCGGCGCCCTCAGGTTACACTCCCAGGCGGCCCCACAGCGCAGAGCCGGGACAGAGGCTAAAACAGCCACAGCCAATCACCTTGGGCTCCGCAGAGGGAGGGCAGACTGGACTGGAGCTGTGTGGGGACACTCGGGGTTTGGAGGGCACTCAAAGCTTTTGCTGAGTTGCTACCACGCAGGACGGTGGCCATATTGCTCCTTCCCATGGCCATGGGGAGAGGCAGCAGCACCTCCCTCGGAGATCCAACCCCACCCTGTGGGCCATTGAAGTGCTAATTGAAGCTCATTAAAAACCAGCATCTGCCACACCCTCGTGAAATCACCTAATGCTAAGCACCTGAGGGAGTTTTTCAATCAACTGACAACCCAAAACTCATCAAGTAACCTCAACTGCTAGTCTCCAGGCAAAAAGCTAGAGGATAACAGTACCTTTCATGGGCTAGCAACTTTAACCAGGAAAGTAAGACTTGACAGTGGTGTTTAACGTGGGTCCTCCCTTGCTCATCTAAACCCAGGAGAGGGAGCCACAAAGAGCAGAACACCAACACCCACAGGGAAAACTTGACAGGCTCCAAAGGCCACTGTGATAGCCAAAATGGTGAAACACAGAACCAAAAGCCAAATAAAAGAGCAAGAGACCTCCACCGAAGATGAGATCAATGTGGAGCAGTTAGGCATGTTAACAGAGCTAGAATTCAGAGCCATGATCTTCAGGAAGCTCAACAGCATGAGTAAGGACATAGAGATGCTGAAAATAAGCCAATTGGAAATTAAAAACCATCAAGAAGAAATAAAAAATGACATATCAGAAATGAAAAACACATGGGAAGGTTAAAAAGCAGAGTAGAGAAAGTTGAGGACCGGATGACTGAATTAGAAGACAGGGTAGAAAAAAATCAACCAATCAGAAAACCAAAAGGAAAAAACGATTAAAAAACAGGAAGACAGTTAAGAGAACTGTGGGACAACTGGAAACGTAATAACATTCACATCATAGGAGTCCCCGAAGAAGAAGAAAACGAGCAAGGGATAGAGAATATATTTTAAAAAAAATAGTGACAGAAAACTTCCCTGATTTGGTGAAGGAAGAAGGCATTCAAGTTCAAGAAGCACAGAGAGTCCCAAGTAAAAAGAACCCAAACAGGCCCACATCAAGACACATAGTTATTAAAATGACAAAAATTAAAGACAGAGAGAATCCTAAAAGCAGCAAGAGATAAGCAACGGGTTGGCTACAAAGGAAACCCCATAAGGCTCTCAGCTGACTTCTCACAAGAAACACTACAGGCCAGAAGGGAATGGCATGAAGTAATCAAGGTCATGAAAAACAAGGATCTGAATCCAAGACTACTCTACTCAGCAAGGCTATCATTTAGAATAGAAGGTCAAATAAAGAGCTACGCAGACAAAAAAAAAGACTAAGGGAATATATTAGCACCAAACCAGCACTACAAGAAATATTAAAAGGACGGCTGTAATTAGTAGAAGAAATAGGAAGAAAAATAAAACCAAACTAAACAAAAATGGCAATAAATAAGTACATATCAATAATCACCTTAAATGTAAATGGACTGAATGCTTTGATAAAAAGACACAGAGTAGCTGATGGGATAATAAAGCATGACTCATCTATATGTTGTTTCCAAGAGATCCACCTCACAACAAAACACTCACATAGGTTGAAAGTGAAGGGATGGAAAAAAAATTTTCAAGCAAATGGAAAGCATAAAAAAGCTGGGGTAGCAATACTCATATCTGATAAAATAGATTTCAAAATGAAGGCCATAACTAGAGACAAAGAAGGCCACTACATAATATTGAAAGGATCTATCCAACAGGAAGATATAACCTTGATAAACATATATTCACCCAATATAGGGGCACCAAAATATATTAAAACTCTTCTGGAAGACTTCAAAGAAAAATATCGAGAGCAATACAATCATAGCAGGGGACTTCAACACCCCATTGACACCACTGGATAGATCCTCTAGACAAAAAATTAGCAAGGAAACAGAGACTCTAAATGAAGCACTAGACGAAATAGATTTAATAGATATCTACAGACAATTAAACCCCAAAACTACAGAATTCACATTCTTCTCAAGTGCACATGGGACATTCTCAAAGATA